GTTATTTTATTTTCAACTTGAATTTATAGTTATTTTATTTTGAACTTTAATTTATATATTTTAAAATAACTATCTTTATCCTTATCAAAAAGGTGAAATTTAGTCATACTAAGTGCATGAAGAGGTTCAGACAGTCCTGAGGATGAAACCACAAGCACAATGAATTTGTGAAATCAGTTTATTTATTTGACACTTGATCAGCTCTTTAATACATTCGAACTTACAATGAGATTTAGCTTTTTTGTGAAAAACAGACTGCTACTGTCAGCTTTTGTTGTTCTGATAACAAACATTCAATCTCGGATAGCAGAAAAAAAGAACAAACAGCTGTGCTGAAAATGTGTAACCTCTTATAGCCAAGAATCCCCATTGATCTTATTACACATTGAAGTTGAAGTATAGAACCGGCAACGGCACAAAAACGAAGACAGCGGTGATGTACGTTCTGTCAGATCAAATGACTGTGCATTTGTTATCTATACAACACTGATTGTCACTAAAACTGAAGCTGTGGTGACTTGGAGCAACCACCTTGCAAAGTTGCAAATGACTGAACAGAGAAGAGAATGAGGGGGGAAAAGAGGAGGAACAAAGTGACCACCATCTGTTATTGGCAGCAAACTCAGGTCTTAAGGCAAACGCTTTCGGTTAACAGTCAGCAAACTCATATAAGCCAACCTGGCACAACCCCTTCAAGATTTAACACTCTTGAAACTTTCTTCTCCTCCAAATCAAACTGTCATCTGCTTCTGTCCAATGAAACTACAGAAGAAAATCACAGATCACTTTCCAGATGCACAAAAGAAGAATTACTAAGTTACAAACTGCATATAGATGAATTTTAATGAGAGAAAACAGAGAAAAATTGAATCCATACCAAGTGTAGATATTAACATTAAAGATTAATGAAATCGCTACATCAGACTAATGAAAACCCAGAGAAGAAATTATTTTGTGCTTTGAGGTTTCTTTCTAATAAACATATTGTACGGTTGCTGGGTAAAAGCAAAGTGCAACTACTTGAAAGCGTTTTGGAGAACATTAATACGATACATTAACAGTACAATATATGGCATTATCCATGTAACAACGTGAGCAGATTACAGATTTTGAGGAAAATTCTGTAAATCTGAGGAGGACATATTCGGCAACAACATATTCCAGCTGTTTAGATCATTGAGTGAGTTAGGCCTAAAATCTGCTGTTGTACCTGAAATGATTTGCCAGATAAATCAGATGAAGGAGTGGGCTTTAGATTAGGAGATAAAGCTAAACAAGCACATATTTACATTATTTGACTGCCTACTACATCCAAGCACATTAAGATAAATCAATGAATAGTTGACTGAATTAATTACACAGGACATATTTGGAGGTAGTTCACTAGGACATATTAACTCTACAGTTTGGCTGTAACAACTGTGAATATACTGTGGTTGAAAACAAAGTTTACATTTCTGCATCTGTGTTTTTTTGCAGTAATAATTTCCTCCTCCAGACATGGAATATAGTTTAGTCTAAGACAAAACAAGGAACAAGTGCTGCTCAGGACTACAGACACATAGTGTATGAACGATATGAGTATCACTTATCCATGCTCTGTTTTTTCTAAATTCATGCTAGTATGTATAAACACAAGATGGCACAGTAGTAACATACGCGGGATCCTCATATTATTTAGAGGCTATAATTCAAGCCTGATCTAATCCACTTAGCTTCGAGCTACATCAAGCTGATTCAAGGATTTAAAGATTCATTAGAAACAATTCTCTTATTTACCTTTTTCCCATTGAAGCAGTGAAGCGATAAACCTGAAATCTAAAGAAAGAATTCCAAAGCAACGTTATTAAAAAAGAGAAAGATAGCATCATAAACAGTGGATACTTTACTCACGTTTCACATGTTTACTGGTTTACATCACAGTAGGAATACGACCAAAGTGTTTTGGCACAGAGCCTTCATTAGAGCCCAACTCTTATTTCTCTCAGTTTGAAAACTAATTTTGAAAAATGAAGCTATTTTTCGCTCTGAGTAAAACCTGTAGGGTCAAAAGCTTGTTTCCACTACTACAAGAGAATTAAAAAGTGTCACCCGTAAGTTTAAAATCTGTCTTATTATCTCAAAATTTAGGTTACGTATCTCAAAATTTTAACTTACTGACTCAAACTTATGAAAAAGTTAAAATGAAATCTTCAGAAAAAGCTGGAAAAAAGTCCCCAAAATGAACAAAATGTTCTTTGATTCTGAGGAAAACTGCTCCCTTTATTTAAAATGATTGAATATTCAGGCGTGTCGCTCATTTATCTGCTACTGGAGACAAAAATCAGACAAGGCCATCATGCATTAAATTTCTGTACATATACATCTTTTCTTATCTGTCTGAAAACTCTTTAGCGCATACACGATATGGTGCTTGATGTGTAACTGCTCCGCATGTACAGATAATAAAGGAGAAAAGGATGTGGGGGAGGGGCGGAGGAAGTCATTCTTCCACATTAGTTTCAAATTAGGGAAGTCTGATTGAATCAAATTCCCCCCAAAAAGGACGCTTCAGTCAACCAAGTGCTTTGGTTGTTTACTTCTTATCTTTATTATACATCAAACATCAAATGATATATAAAAGTTAAAAGGTCAATCAAATGTTCTCTAAGTTTACATTAAGGCTGGTTGGTATGACTCCAATTAAGAGTCATTTTTATTTTTAGTATTCCCTCTTTTGGCAATTCTTAATGGTATGTAACACATCTTGTGTCCACATCTCAAAGGCAAGTATAACAGAAACCTCCGAATTCTTTTAAAAAAACTACAGACAGTGATATTGTCGGTCACTGTCTATTTTCTAGGCTGTATATAAGGTTAAAGTGCCTAACAGAGCGCTGTCACGGGTAATCAAAATAGGTTACAAGGTTTAATGGGAGACAGCTTTTCTAAAGCCGGACTTCTAAACTTTGTGTCTGTAAGTCTTTAATTGCTTTTCTATATACAATGTGCTTATTAATGTAGCATGTAAGTTTATCGCCTTTATTACATTCTTAGCAGCTAGGAAAAAATCTACCTCAACATCGATTAAGTTGGTATTTTACATTTTCCACATGGCGACGGCAGGTGTTTGTCTTTTCCCGTTGAACATAATGGTTCCATTATGGCACCCTTGAAAACCCTGAAATTACATGTAGTAGCAGTGTGAAGTGTCTTCCTGTCCTTCTCAGCAGAGGGCAGTGTTGAGCCACCAGGAACAGCTCACTGGAGTAGAGGTTGCTTTCATGGCGCCATGAAATATTCGTCCTCATTTTCAGCTTTCTACTCTCTGATCCACGAGTTATAATGGCAAAACTTAATTTCACATCTTCTCACATCCTTTGAACACACTCTCCATGGTGACTTTTCTTACTCCAAGCTCTTCCGTGGTGTCTGTTTTGGTTCTGTGTGTCAGTGTGTGAGTGCGCACACCACGAAACCAAAGGAAAAAAATCCAAAACAACCTAGTTTCTCCAAATATTGACTCGTTTGCTTGACTACAATAGCCTCATTTTTAAGCACACACACAGTTTCTTGGTTATCCACCTTGTTCAAACAATGCTGGAACAGAGCTAGTGAGACGTGGTTTCAAGTCTTCAGTGTTTCGCTCTCGATGGGGTTTTGAGGTTAAGTACTACTTCAGTCCCCACATTTTTTCCTGCATTACTCTTCTGAGAGGTTTCCTCTTGGAGCTCTCTTTAATGCTTACACCTCCTCCATCACTTCCATGACAATTGTCCGCGGACCGGTCAGGATCAGGTTGCTGACGGTCCGGTAGTCGTGACAGAGGACGTTCAATCCGTTCACCGCCACCACGAACTGACACACCTGGAGAAAGTTGACAGAAACAGGAGACATGCTTGATCACCTTTAATGCCACTCATAGAGAAAAAAGAAAAGAGACAGATAGCGATATATTTAATTATAGCTGCAAAAAACTCCCCAGATATTTACAATACAGCCTGCAAATAAGGGCACAACTATTTGATTTGAAATTACGAATTAATTATATTTACCTACAAATACATAACGGTAGACACACATAAATAAGGAGTTAACAAGTCAGGTTTTTACAGGAAACAATTATACCATACGTAAGTAATGTGTGAGTAATTTTGATGAGCAATTTTGAGTATTGATGTGCTATTATTCAACTGTATTTTTATTTTATCAACATAAATGTGATGAGGACTGTTCTCTCTTATCAACTTACAAGAATAAATAGATCCCATCAAAATTTGCAGCCCTATGTGATCTGATAATGGAGAAATTAATTGTCCTACTTCATAATACAACCCACACGCTGAAAAGTACTTACAATGAAAGTTACTCATACATTACCTACAATTACTCACAGTATAGTTATTTCTTTGTTTCTTATAAAAACCTGACTTGTTATATAATACAGGTGTATTTATCTTTAAGGGCTTGTAAGCAAATATAATTATATTGTATTTTCAAATAAAGTACATTGAAATTCCTTTTAATTACAGGGAAATTATACCCTTAGTCGTGGCCCACATTGCAAAGTTTTACAAAAAGCCATCAGGCCTACAGAAGAATTCGAATTTTATTCTACAAAGCCGAAATCTACATTTGCTGCAATGAAAGACAGCCTGCTATACTTTATCCAAACTGTGCTTCTCTCTGTATCAAGTTTTCATCTGTAAAGCTCTGCGGTCAAAGCTTATAAGTACAATCTAAAGCTGCCTTACTCCTGCCTTACAGTTCTTTGGGCTTTAAGTTGGGAAAGCACATCACTGAGGGGATAGTGTGAGTGCCCTTTGGTCTTGTTAAATGTTCACTTATATTAATAGACAAAAAAGTGTCTACATCTAGTAAGTCTGTTCTTTCGTCAAAATTATAACAGTAAATTAAAGAGACATGTTATTAATAACCTGCCCCAGCAAAAGCTAATAAATCCCCTACACTCTCATCTGAATAAGTTTAAGGCTTATTTTAAAACACAAAAACAACCTAAAAAAAAACTTGGAAGCTTTAAGTTGTGAGCATTCAAAGCAATAGGTGGCCATCTTTTATATACAGTCTATGAACAATTATACAAAGGAGCATCTGGCCGTCCTTCACTTTAACATGCAAGAGTGCAAATGCTTCTGGGTTGTCTGGTTTTTTTTTATCAGCACAAGTTTCAGTGTCAACACATGTAACCTAACACAGGTGTCAGTGAGCACAGAGCACAGTCATAGCTCAAAACTTTGAGCTCACTGATGTAAAAAATATAACTGAGTTTGAATAACAAGAGGTACAACATGATTGCCTCACTCCAAACCACTCCTGTCACGCCTGAATGCCCCCTATGTTATCGTTTAACCACTTCTGCAGCTGCAGATAAAAAATAAGGCGTCTTTTCAAAACTGTCTTCTAGCTGCCGTTCTTGCAACATGATCCTGCTGCTGTGTTTTTTGCAAACTTTTAAACCACATACTCACTCACATATGCACTGCCTGCTTTACTGGCCCCTAAAAGTTGTTTTTTTTTCTCTTCACGATGCCAAAAAAGATCGATTAAGAACAAAAGCACCTTTATTCTGATATTTTAATAGCCCATAAATCAACCACGTGCAGACAGCAGAGGAAAGATTGAAGAAAAAAAACCTTCTAACAGATAGTTTATTGACTGTGCATACAGGAAACATTATGCATGTAGAAAATTTCTTGGAGTGAACAGCTACCTAAACTTGCCTGTTACACAGAAAAGTGAACACATGCAGAGAGAGGCCACTAGGAATATTCTCACGGCAATCGTTGCTCAGTGTTTTCCAGCACTCCTAAATGTTTCCGTGCTAGAAAGCTCAAAATAGGCAAAGGAAATAAGAGGAAAGAGAGATTAAGTGTGATGAAGAAGAGGGGGGAAAAAACGGCAGGCTGCTAATCCTATGTAGCAGAGGAATTTAAGACCCTCACTGTAATCACACCCAGATCTCTACGGGCTATACTGCACTATTTTCAGAGCCAAAGCAGTCTTCTTCATTCTTCTTCATTTGGCCATCTCATCTTTATTTTTGGTTCCCTTAATTCATCTCTCTAGTCTACCTTTCCTTCCAGTATCTTTAACTATCTTCAAACTACTCCCCATCTTATCCCTCCTCTTTCTCCCCTATCCAAACATTCCTTCTCTCGGGTTGCAGGGTTGTTAATCTTGGCTGGACCCTAGCTGGACGAAATGTTTCCTTGTGCTGAGATGGTTAAAACCCCTCTCACAAAGTGAAATGACAGAAACAGGAAAAGATGCAACAGGTTAAAAGGTGTGTGAAACGACTCGGCTGTAATCTGAGGACAATGACTTGTCGTTTTTTTGGCCTTCTGCCTGGACTGTAGTTTCAACACCTGACAACATGACGGCCCTCTCAGGACTGCGATCTTCTTTCATTAAACAGTAATAAAAACACTCAGGTGAGGTGGAACCTCTGAGGAAACGCGAGGAGTGCGATTAACTCCACACAAATAAACTGATGACGATACTGCACACACCGCTGCACACGAGGAACTTAATGTACAAACCTGACACGATGGAAATCAGATAAAGCTAATGTAATAATCTGGTTTTTGGCGTGGTATTTATTGGCTTAATGGGTATAAAAGATGCTCAACACAAACAGACCATGTTAAATGTTTAATAAAAATGGTGCACAATTAAAACAGCTTCCACATGAGGTCTTCATATTTTGTCCCAATTAAGTCCAAAATAAGTTTAACACATGTGAAACGCTCTCAGAGCGACGACACCTTTATGACTGACTTGAACCCGGCGCATGTTTCTATGGTAATAATCAGTCACCAGAGCAGAAGTGATATTATTTCCAGAGGCTGTTTCCTCTTTTAGTGCTAATACTCAAACTCATCTCCTCTACCTACTTCCTCCTCTTCCAGTTTTCATCTTCAGCTCATGTGTCTTCGCTATGGCAACCATCCTTTCTTTCAGTCAGTTGCACACATTTTCTCCTTTAATTAAAAGAAAACATCCCTGTAACAGAACAACTAAATGATGTGTACTAAAGGATATGGAAAGTGATATGTACACAAGAAAGCCCTTTTGCTTCCATCGGTGACCACCCTACATGAGTAGCACGCTATCAATAATTAATTTCTCGTTTTTCAGGCTCCTTCTACAATTTTTTCAGTCATTGCACTCTGGCCCCGCTCTCCATGTTGTGGTAAAGTTGCTGTGCTCTGCATTCCCAGGATTCCTTGCTGCCATTCTGTTGACATACCTTCATGGCAGCTGTAGCAGCACAGCTATCATTATCCTTTCATACTCCTTGATTTTTTCCCCACCCCTACTACAGCACATTTGTGCCACTCTTTCCTCCCATCCTAGCGTCCTCCTCCTGTGGGCTGAAGCTACAAAAAGAATCCTTAAACTCTTGTTTAACATTTACATGCTTCTCCGACAGTCTACAGACTTAAAGGAACTGCCCTCTTGAAATCAAAATCCACAGCAAAAAGCATCCGCAGAGGTGCAAAAAGCAAGTTTAAGTCTCAGATTTCACTAAGAAGTGTGTGTAGTACATCTATTGTTTTCTATTGTTCTTCTCTTCATTTCATCTGATGACAGAAGCCTGCAGGGGTTCATCATTCTTTCAGGAGTTCACACATTTCTACCAGTCTTACCTTCATGCCAGCAGCGGCAGCTGGTCCACCTGGATCCACAGCCTGGATGTGACAGGGTTTGCTTCCTCGCACCACAAACCCCCAGCCCACAGCATCGCCTATAATCTGAGGACAACAGCAGCAGATGAGACGCAGAATATCTCACTTCTTTTCAATCCCGTGCTCAGCGTTTAGACTTTAGATGGTGAAATAATGTACTTTAAAGTACTGTTTGCACATTATACTTTGGATTTTTGTCGTGTGATGCTCAGCTGAGACTCTTTGGTGATCACACTTAACTTAGAAAAAGAATAGGGAGGGATGTATGTGTGCTGTCTGCATACGCCCATGAATCATGGGACCTTTCACATACATTCGCGTGTGTCTGTGTGTGTGTGAGGACATGTGTGATTGCTCAAATAGTCTCCGTTAGACCTCAGCTCTCTGTGTGCGAGTGTGTGTCTGTGTGTGTCCTACAGTGAATGTCTTCTTTATAAAAGGTCCTCCTGGTCTCTGCAGCTCCTCTGGACTCACTTGTCTCTTCAGGACTGTTGAGAAAGACACATCAACACAACACACAATGTTACAGCAATAAGACGACACACTGGCATGGGCATGCACACATGAAACAGAGGTCTATTTTTGGTTAAAAATGTACGTGTGTGTGTAGAAACTATGAGTGTTGGTCACATGCTAATAATGCCTTTGAGGCACCCTGCTTCCTGAAACAGTATAGCTTTCCTTCCTCTAGTCCAACTTCCCCTTACCAGTACTCACATCGACATGACTCTCCACAAGGATCCAAAAGACTTTTGTGTCTTATTAATTAATTAGATTAAATTAATTGGAAATGTCCTCATTTTAAGGAGGAAAAATGAAAAGAAATTGGAGAGCAAAAGGTGAGATACAAAAGTTAAAATAAATAAGATCTTTCAATGCTCTTTAGACAATGCTCTTTATTTAACAACTTTTCTTAGGCTTGGTGATCGCATTATTACTGACTGCTATGATTTATGAGCATTTATGATGAGTCTGTGAATGAAGCTATAGCTGCTTTATGCGATGTAATGGCCATAAGTATGAAGCGTCTGACCATAGTTTTCCAACTAAAGCCTCTCCAGGACATTAAACTAATTGATTTCCCGCTAGCTGTTCCCACTCATCTATTGGACATTTCCTTCACTTTGTTGTTTTCCTTCCTTTAGGTCAGGTCCATTGACCTTTTCCATATCATCTTCCTTAAATATTTTATCAATATGGTGTCTCAGTCAAAGAAGCCCTGACTGGCCAAACCAAAGTTGTTTGTTCCAGTTTTGAAAGCTTTTTTATTGAAGATTAAGTCCAGACAGGTATTCATGCCTCACTCCTTTTGCTTTTTTCTAGTGTATATCCATGTGAATGTGAGTGCGAATGGTTTTCTGTCTCTATGTTTTAAGTTTTCTTATGCAGGGTGGTGTTTCAGTTCCTCATGTCCTATAATAGGGCCTATCATAGGGCTGCATATGTTTAGCTGATAGGCTTTTAAGAATAGCCAGATCTCCTTTACCACTGGGAAATTGGAGGGTCTAACAAAGTCTTATGTCTATAGCTTCTGTAAAGTAGAAAAATACAAATAAGTAAGCAGCTTTCAGCCTTTGTTTGCACATTGAGTTCAGATTTCAACAGGTGCTTAGTATTTAATAACAAACTATAAATCAACTGGATATGTGCCGCAAAGATCACTGAATAACTCTCAAAAATCTAAAAGCAAAAAATGCAAGGACATTTCTTAGAAAGCCAGTGGCCCGTGCTTGACAAATCACTTATGGTCTACATCGCAACACTTAACTGTAATCTGATAAAGAAGAGGAAGTGAAGTGCAAAGGACCGCTAATCCTCTAGAGCTGGAAATTTTCATAATCTCTCTGTGGAATTCCAATCTGATCAGATATACAGGACAATTTCTCTTAACATTCTGTTATCTGCCCCCTTTGTGTCACGATGACATAACCTTTTTTTAATGGTGTGACTTTATAGAAACAAAACACTGGTCAAAGCTCAGCCCATTCATCTTATATGGAGTTTCTTCCTCCTCGTATGTGAAGCAAAAGAGAAATACCCTTACTCTGTGTGTGTGTGTGTGTGTGTGTGTGTGTGTGTGTGCGCGCGCCTTCCTCTTCCTGCTCATTGTGCACCATGAGCAAGTGCTAATGTAAAAGGGGGGGGCTGCTGGCACAAAGAGACTCTTGTCGAGGACTCTGCTTGAATCAAACACATCAGAGGACACCTCAAAGTAGCCAAAATAAAACACTCAGAAACACACACACGGCTCAAGGGCGTCACTGCCAAGTTTTCAAATCTGCACAGAGAATTTAAAGCCGTTCATTTCCAAATGACAGGTATGATTGTCACTTTCCTTTAAGCAGTGCATATCTGCTTTCCACTGAAGTAAACGTGCGCTCATTAGGATTTTTCTTCAGCTTGTCTTCCCACAGAAAAACAAGCTAATTCACAGTTTGCGATAGAATAAATGTGGGTTAAGCAGTCTGTTATATGACCTGTTGTGAGTCTTCTATGTGTTTAGTTGTCAAGTTTGTAATATGGATATTTGTCACTTTGAATTATATAGGATTTCAACTAGTCCACCTGACGCCTCTCTCACTGACGGCAGCTGATTCTCACGCTTCGTTTCCTTCTTTCCAACTGAGCAAGTCTGAAGCCTAATTTAGTAACTTTAATTTCAAAAAACACAAAGTAAAATATCTAGTGAGAAACCTGCTGTGCAGTGGAGGTCTTGTGTTCCTGCTACACAAACAGCTCTCTTTCTGTTTTTTTGTTTTTTTACCACAGGAGTGTCAAACATACAGCTGGCCTGGCCCCCAGACATCACCCATGACCTGGCTTATTGCAGCAAACTAACTAAGCACCAGATAACAGTGTTTTGCTTTAAGTGTTACATTAAAGAACAGAAAAGTTCCTATTTTTCAGCATTTACAATAGAAATGTTTCTCTTTTTTGTTACATTGAGTCACTGGTTAAAAGAACAGCACAACAACCTTTTCTGTCATTTTAAGCATTTAGTCATTAAAGTTTACGTCAGGGGACCTGTGCTGATTTTTTATTTATTTATGTAATATTTCTTTATACAATGTGGAAAAATTTAATTTATTTTTCTTAAGAAATCTTATGGAATAAACGTGTGCTTGGATTTCTTTACACTAAAAGGACGGGGAACAGTTTGTAGATCCACACAAGCTCAAACTGGGCTTTGTGTGCACCACTACATAAAAAGTTCTTTGCTTCTCTAAATGACCGCTTTAAAAATCCAAAGTAGAGCCACTATATTAAAAAATAACTTTACAATTAGTAAATAACATGAATCTGTCAGTAAGAACACACAACAACTAAAATCATTTGGACTTATTCCCATTTAGTAATGAGGTTAGTTTAAACTATTATAACTGCCACTGTCTACTGAAGACTTCATTTAACTCTATATGCAGCAACTTTAAACCACAGCTTTAGAAAACCTGACAGTTAAACGAAGATATAGTTCCTGCTCCACAGTTTTTTTTATGTTCAGTGGGAGTGGGGCCCATTACAAAATACACTCGATATCTATGTTGTCATACCAGATTTAGGGTTGCAAAGGACAGGCGGACTGCTGCTGAGCGTAGGACTGCTGCTGTAATAACCACTGCTGCAATAACCGATGCTGCCACAGCTGCTGCTCATGCTGCTCCGACGAACTCCGACAGACACCTTTATCTCTTTTGTGGGACTCACTGAGACAGAGAAACACAAACTGAGTTGTTAGTCTGAAAGACAGCCAGAAAAAAGAGAAAGAAGGCAAAGCAGAATAAAGGCTTGATTTACAGTTCACCAGTGTGGCCTCTGGAGCTGCAGACCAATCTAAAGACAGGAAAAACCAGCACTACATAGAGCCCCTTACTTCATTCATATAAAATATTGAGTCTTTTCTCATTGGAATATATTGTGTAACCTCCTAAGTAGGTTAGACTTTTAATAACCATTCAGTATAGTTTTAAATGTGCATGCTTAACTTTCTCTTTGTTTTGCCATATTTCTTGTGCCACTTTGGTGAGACAGAGACTTTGTGCTCTGCTCTAGTAACACAAACAGGGCTGCTCTGTTATCTTTATAAGGCAGACACCACCAAGGACACAGGTTACGGAGAGTGGATTTGGGTATGTGTGTCAACAGAAGATAAGGCAAACTGGATAAATATGCCACTGAATCAAATAACCAGGGGCAATATTTAAACTGCTTAATAAGAGTAATGTTTCATGAACACATGGACACAGTGAAGGTTTCCTATGAAAGGTGACAAACTTCCCAAGGTCTCTACCAAACATCTGAGAATACTCTCACGGAGGAGCTGGGGTTCAGCAAAAGTTTAGATTTAAAAAACAATGTTTTACTTTTAAAATGACTGAAAGGAGGACACAGATTATTTAGCTGATCTGTCAGTTTGGAATGAAAGGCAATAATGAAGCAAAGCTTTTACACAGTTACTGAGAGTCAGATGGAGTGTGCACCTGAGAGAAAGCTGGTGTTGCCTCCGTCAGAGCTTTGTTTCCGGAGACAGAAGGGACTGTCGTGGCTCTCTGGGATGCTGCGCCCTCGCTCGTGAAGAAGTTCAATCAGTCGCCGACGTCGCCGGAAGTTCATCCTGAACTGGTAGAGGAGCGGCCCATCAACAAAGTGATTCTTGTTGGTGACTAATAACAGGGAAAATGGACATGAAGATCATAAATACGTTTTGTTATGTATCTGAAATGTATAGTCTTACTCCTATTGAGCCTTGATCTAGAACCTCAAACGCAAGTAACAATTTCCCTGGAGCTGCGCTAGAACACGATGACCACTGAGAGCACTGACCTCACTTATTTTCGCTGTGCTGATAAGATGAGATATGAGTACATTTTTATCAAAATTAACAAGCATGCCAAGGTGAAACTAATCACGTAAACCGGTCAAACTGCTGTCAATGTCACTGCTCTTACTGTGGTTTCAAAAGAGGTGAGATGCACAGTTTGAGAGAGAGAAGAGAAGCTGATATTGTCTTCTTCCTGGCTGAAGAGTCACATAATGCCCGTGGGATGTCTTTGTTAACCCCCTCAAAGTATTTTGGGGGTTTTAATCTTTTCAACCAACCAGCTATAGACAGAAACCCAATTTCCTGTTTCAGGTTATGTAAGTTAACCTCTTCAAGCTAGATTATTGCCGTCTAGAAATACTCACCCACAAAACAATGCAAAACAGCACAATACAGTCAGGGGCTGGGTCTGTGACCCAGCGTCTTTTCATTTATTTAGTATGGTTGATTTTCTCTGTTAAAATAATGTTAAATTCAGGTGTTATTCTTAAGTTAAGGGATCTTAAGTTCTAGTATTATTAGTTTGGTTGAGTTTTTAATCTGGTTTATGTTTCTTCTTCTAACACAGTATGTCATGTGTTTCATGTTGTCATGTCTATGTCCCATTGTGTTTCCGGTTTTATTTTGAAGAGTCTTGTGTTCCATGTTCATTGTGTTTTGCTTCCCCTGTGGCATTCAGGTTCATTTATGCCAGGGCTGCCCAATCCCAGTCCTCGAGAGCTACTATCCTGCAGCTTTTAGATGCATCCCTACTCCAACACAGCTGAATCAAATGGTTTGATTACCTCTTCAGCATGCCATCGTGTTTGGCAAAGGCCTGATAACAAGCCATTCATTTGATTCGGGTGTGTGGGAACAAGGATGCATCTAAAAGCTGCAGGACGGTAGCTCTCGAGGACCGGGATTGGGCACCCCTGATTTATGCCAACTGTGTTTCCCCAGATGTTTCCACTTCCCACATTACCCTTTTGTGTATTTAAGTCCTCTGTCTTCCTCTGTTCTTCGTTTGGTTGTCTGCTGTCTCAACGTCAAGTCACGGCTGGTCACAGAGTTTTATTTCTATTGCTTAGGTTCATGTTTCATGTTATAGTTATAATAGTAATTTAGCTGCTCCCAGTTTAGTTTTGCACCAGGCTTGCCTTGTTTTCCTTTTTTGACATCAGCACAAAATAACCGGCTCGCTTTTTGTTAAAGATTCAGTTCTGTCTCTCCCTTGTCTGCTTTCGGGTCTGCTCCACAAACACACCGGCCATTCTGGCTGTGACAAATACAACATTACTCCACACTGAGATAGCCAGACTATTAAGGTTTTAGTGAACCTAAAGTATATTTAAATAACTGATGTTTCTCAATGTCCTCCTTTTTGGAGAAAAAAAAAGAGAGCTGTAGAAATCATTACTTCCTTCTTAGTAATGGCTGCTTCTTATTGGATATTGGATATATATATATAAATGTAAAGTTCAGATTTGTGTGTAATGCATTACTGTAATCAAATTACATTTTTCAGTAGTGCAGAGACTCATTACTGTAGTAAATCAAGCATTCACGTTACAGTTCGCACTACAAACGTTTTTCAGTTCAGCACGCGGGCAGACAGAATGTAAAACTGTAAGAATGACTTTCTGTTCAAAGATGAAGCTTACTTTATATACTTCTAATCACAAATAGCTGGAAGAAAATAAAAATCCATCCCAAACAAGAGCTTAAAGGTCTCGGAAGGTTAAAATATAAAGTAAGTTGTAAGAAGAAAGTCTAAATGCGCAGGTGTCCACTAGTGCATGTTATGTTATTACAATAATCATTACATAATGAGCCTTCTCATAGTCATTTCTCATTTATAGGTATCATGCATTTTTATGAGCAACACACATTTGGCTCGTGGCCATGTCATGCATCATTTTGTGGTTTCTGTCAGCTCAACAAAGTCCCTTTATTGTGTTTTTTAAAAGTAAAAAGCCTGTACTGTGCTTTACACTCCTCTTCACAGACTGACGTGAAATGCTGGTTTTTCTTCTGTAATCTGATTTATCATGTAAAGCCTCACCCCTGGTGATGACAGCTGGCTCCTGGCTCATTGCCTGTTGCACAGTGATATATCAGCCCTGCTCTGTTTAATTTAAGCATTACCTGGAACTCTGTCATCTGCTTATTCTGCCTGTCTGTACCTCATTCAGAAGCACAGTGTAGGAAAACATTTTCCCCAGCGCGCCACACTAAGCACACTGACCAAACACAGGCTTTGGGCCAAACACAAAGTAGATCCATCCAGACCAACCATACATCGTACAGATGAATGTGACTACGGACCACAACAGAAAAGAACAGAAATCTGGCTGGTTTACTCTCCACCCCCTTTATAATGTGTTTTTCATGGGAACTCGGGGTGTGTACGAGTAAGCTATTTATAACTTTACTGCAACACAGTGTTGTTAACAACATACACAGTCCGCATATTATTTCCGTAATACTAGAGCACTTATTTTTGCAAGGGGGATGGCAGTGCCGTGTCTCTGTGACGGAGCAAATGAAGTTTTCTATCACCTTAAATAAGTGACG